AGGCAAAACGACAAGTCTGGCATCCAGGCAAGGTGTGCCGAAGAGGAGGCCTTCTTCACAGCCGTGGTGAGAAACGTTGCGTTGCTTCCTCGGAGCCGGAGCTGTGGCTGCTCTTCGGCTGCTGACGCAAGTGCGGCAGCAAATGCGCACACCCAGAAGAGAGCCATGGCTCGACAAGGCGAGGGGCTGGGGAACAACAGCAAATCTGAGCACTTGAGCCAATAGGGTATAGTACAGGCATGTACAGGCCTTACTGCGGGGGGGGTGTTCAGAGTTTAGTGTACTGTGCTCGAGTCAGGACCAGGGATTGGAGTGTCCGCCACTTCATCCCTCACCCGGCCTGCAGCTCCGCCGCAGTGATTTCCGTCACCTGGCCACATGAAGCAAAACGAGACAACCCAGCATCGCCGAAAGCGGATGCCAAATGTCGACTCATCTGAAGACCCCCACATACACTCACAGATACCCGAATTTAAACCCTGAGTCACATGATTCCGAGGCATTCAAACCGTCATAGTCATAACTCCCTGTCTCAGCTATTTGATGGACAACCTGCGGAGATCCGCGAGTTAAAAACACAGCAAAAATCCACAGTCTCAAGATCCTAGTAACTCCATGTAACTCCGAGAGTCCGCATGGGTTTAGGGCCCTCCGCGCCTCTGCACAGGAGAGCGCCGAGTTCAGGGCCTCCAAGCCAAGGCTCATCGCCTCAGGCACTTCCGGTTCGGGGGGGGGGGGTCCCCCGACATCGACATGGAGAGCTGAGCTCGCTGCGCTCACCGCATGCTCTGCGCAGCTGACGGCGTCAGGGTTTCGCCTGAGCGCGAATCCTCTGAATTTCGGACGTTCTGAAATCTTCTCCGCGGGCCCGCTCTGCTTTGGGAGCCTCTGCTCGACCTCGGAGGCTCGGACTTGGCCGCTGCACGGCACTGCGCCGCCACATCCAGAGTGGCATAGCCGACGGCGCGGACAGCCTTCTCTAATATTGCAGCAGGAGTCCCTTTCTCAAACACCGCACCGACTGCTGGCCGCCTTAGAAATTAGAAAGTTGCATCAGCACTCAGGATCACTATGTGGTCGTGCCAGGAAGTGGCTGCAGAAATGAGTCACTAGGTTGGAGGAAAGAATAAGAACCGATGCTAGGGGATGAGCCCTAAAGGGCTTGACATGCCATTGCATCGCTACAACTGTAACTGCAGCTAACACGGAACTCCGTGGCCTTCACCACCGTCAGGGTGTAGACGATGGCTGAGTGAGCTACCTGGGACTGCATCTGGTTTTGGGCCACAGCTCAACGCTTTGCGGCGGCGTGTGGCGCTGGTGTTGGCAGATGCACTGTCCAGGGCATCGGACTGATTTGATCAGCGTCTCGCGACCTCCCTGCTCCTTCAGAATTTCAGAGGTGTCACATCTTGGCCGGCACGGCAAAAACGACGAAAGCACGGCCTGCCTGGTCCCGTCGCACAGCTTCTGCAGCCTCTGCTGCCTTCACTTGACGCAACAAACGGGTGCACCGAGAGAGCAACGATGCAACCGTTGCTCTTGGTCGTGCTTACTGCAGTGCATGCTGCTAGTGTAACATGAAAGCTCGCACAAACTGATCTAAAGACTGCATCTCTACTGTACAGACGGGTAGACACGTGGAGGATTGCGCAGGCATACCAGCAGCAGCAATAGGACACATTTTGTGCCCTGCTTGAGTCGTGCATTCTCCCAGTCCCATGTGCAGGTTTCTTAAAACGAGCGGTATGCAGGGGCCCTACAATGGGGATGAGCCTGCATCAGCAATTAGGGCCGCTACGCTCTCGCAAGCGGGCCTGATGTGCAAATTCGGCTGCCGTCTTGGCATAGCGTGAGGCTTCCTCCGCTGCCTGTCGACGAAACACACTCCTTGCTGTGATGCTGAGAGCGAAATTTTGTAATCCGTCCATGCCTTGCCTTGCTGGCCTTCTCCAGGAGCGTTGTATCCTCCTCACGATATTCAGCTACTCAAGTTTGACAAAACCCTCCAGGCAAAATTCGCACAATGCAAAGACGACTGAGCCCTAGATGAACTTTGTACACCCTCCTGGGCAGCTCTTTTTGCTTCTCTGGCCGTGTCACCATCGGCCTGGCAGCGCAGAGAAGCCCTAAGAGCCTGGTGGCGCCTGGCAGAACCAAGAATGTCTTGCCTTGTCTGCCTGGCCGTCCTCCTCATCCTGACATACTGCAGGAGAGCCTACGAGCCCACGAGTGCCTCAAGAAAATCGGAGCGCCTCAGAGGTGCAAGTGGAACTCTCCTGTCGCCGCCAAAAGAAGTATGCAGAGCTGCGGTGCTGCCTAGAGCGCTTTCGCATCGCGCACCTTCTTCCGTGGCTTCGCTTGGCTCTTGCCGTGGACCGGCGTGGGCTCCTCGCAGCGCCGGAGCAAAAACGCGGCAGGAGCTCTCGGCCACTCTGCGCTTTCTCCTCGCCCTCGCTGTGTTCGTGGCCGTGCTCCTAGCGGCCCAGCAATTCGACTTCGGCTGTTTTGGGGGGTTGAACTCTCAGGGATCCTTGAAGCCCCTGTCGTCGGCCGAGCGTCGCTGCTCCATGATTTTCTCGTAGGCGTTGGTCAATTCCTGTGCCAGCCCCCAACAACCTGCCTCATCAACTCGACAAGACAGTTAAAGCCTTGAGTCTTGCCCTTTTGCAACAGCCAAAGTCTAACACCTGAGCCTGAGAAAAACTAGGCTGCTGAAGGAGAAGCAGGCCTGAAAATCCTCTTTGTCACCGCCCTTGTCAGGGTGGCACTGCATGGCGATGAGTCGGTAGGCCTGCGGGCGCTGGCGAAGGACTCGGGAAAAAAAACACGGAAGATCACGGAAGGCCGTTCTGACGACATGGGATTGGGGCCATGAGCGGTAGAATTCAGCGCTTCAAGCTACCGGAGGGGTGCGAGAGGGCCTTCTTGATCTCGGCATCAGTCGCACTGGAGGAAACGCCCAGGATTGCGTAGGCAGAGTCCTGGAAGCGACACTGACAGTAGCGGCAACGCCGCTCTCAAGCAAACCCCCAGCCACTCCTCGTGGAGACGCGCAATTTCATCCACAATCTCACTCTTGAAGCACATTTGCCTGGCAGGAGCTCATTAACAGATATCATCAATGTGCCTCAAAGCTCCAGCCGATGGCAGCAATTCAAAACCGATCCCGGTAGGCCGACAAGCGGATGCCTCAGGATGTATTCGTCCAGCGCCCGGTTCATCTCCTCGAGCACAGGCCAACTCGAAAAGCAGGCGCATGGAGACCCCCGGCCGGCCTCTAAGTGCTCAGCACTGAGCTGCGATGCCTCCTGAGCCACGGAGAGCCACGGAGAGCCATGAGCCATGGAGAGCCGGCCAAAAAACAGGAACGTGACATGCTCCCAACTCTCCGCGGCTCGCTCCTTCGAGGCCTCCGCGGCGCTCAGCTGCAGCTCCCGAGCCAGGGACAGGTCGCTGAGCACCTCGGGGGGCCGTTCCGTAGCCTCGGTTCCTTCCGCTGCAGGGCTTCTGAAATGGGAGTCCCACAAAATGGCTGGCTTCGGCCGTCCCAGCATCAGGCCCTGCCAGGCTTCCCTATGTTCGCGTGTTGTCTAGATGCGTCTGCATGCAAAATTGGTTCTCCCGATGTTTCGTATGAGGCACGCAATGGACAGCCTGTTAACCTGCATGAAGTGGCTCGGTACAGTGCAACCATGGTTGCATGGACTTGTCTATGTAGACATGCGCAGGACACAGGACGTATCGTGCCCATGCACCCGTGCATTGCAGGTTCGCATGGATGCACTTTGCTAACACATGAATTAAGCTAATTTGCATGTCTTTGACCTTTGGCAACTGCCTAGTTCATCTCTTAAGAATGTTCACTAGTATGTAAACAATATTCGAACTTGCAAATTGAGGTCACGTATATAGCAATACTATAGTGAACCCCTGTTTCGCATGTTCGCATTGCCTTCATCTCCTTCTAAAGGGAACAAGCGGTAGTCACGAATTGAAAATGGACTCATGCTTAAACGTGAGTGATATCTCATGTGTATTGTCGCAACGAGGAGCTATTCCAGCATTAGTTGAAAATCAGATGTTCATGAGTGCGATCTAGTTTGCTAGATAACTATGACGCAAACACCATGAAGCATTCAACGAACACCAATCCCAGGTTGACTGCAAATACGCACAACAGAAGCAACAACAGACGTGTCACAACTACTGGTTGGATATTAGATAGCAGGTACTGGCAACTCATACATACGTGAGCCACATGAGAACTTCAGGAAATAATGTTACTGCACATGTGTTCGATTTTGTGTTTCTTCTCGAAGCAAAATCTTGCTTGGAGTCCTGATACATGCATAAGCCTTTATTGACCAGGAGAATACACTGCAAGCTACGCGATTGGTCCTTTGGGGGTGGGGGTAGAGCCACATATAGAATGTGAATATAAATATGTACATGTATGTACATGTACATGTACGAATGTATGCAAATACGATTTAGGCAATCAACAGTGTAGATGTTCTTTGCTGGAATTGGTACAAACACTAGACATACACACATAAATTCACTGTGCTGTTGTATTCAATACACATATAACATATAGATAGCAAGTGTGCGTGCATGAATACTTACATGACCTGGCGTATGCATGTACATACATAGACTCGCTGTACGCAATCTACTATCGACTACAGCACTTATGACTTATTACGAGACGATGCCGCAGACAGGTGCACATTTACAGATGTACGTGGATGATGTGCGCCGAATTTACTGGATCGGCGACTGGAGATGCTTCAGTCCTGCCCTTCCCTCATGGCTCTCGGGCCTTGCTACGCCTCCACCGCCCGCTGCCCTCACTCTTTCATGTAGCTGTCTGAAGTTCATTTTTTTCACAATGTAGCATTCAATACGAGAAGAATCCAATCCAGCATTCAATAAGATAAGATGTAGTTTTCTCCTTTCCAGCGAGTACACCCGCCACACCGTCCGCACCAACTTCCCCGGCCCCCACTATCCCCTCCGCCCGCCCTACCTTCACTGGTCAATCGTCTGAGCACATGCGCAATTGCTTTCACAGACTGATGTAAGCACATGGAATATGTCGGAACTTGATGAAACCAATGTCTGTCTGATGTCTAACCAACACAGCGCCGCTTCCCGCACATCAGCAGCCTTCAGGCAAGGAAGCATGCGCTTGAATCCGCCGGTCCACCTGGGAGCGAATCAGGCGAAAGTGTTGAGAAGCCGGTAACCTGCAGAACATGGTTACGAGCCCGCCAGTCGGCCAGTGCGACTACGATCGCGTGCTGCTTCTGCTACCTTTGACGGTGAGCTACCCGACGAACAAGCCTTCCGAGCTTCTCCCATTGAATGCATCAGAATCCCACAGATTTGGCCAACTTCCGAAGTGACCCGTGCAAGCACCCGGGCACCTGTAGTGGGCCGGCATCTCCACAGAAGGCCTTGATGAGCTCCATGGCTACCTACCATGGACACTTTCTGAGACAGGCGAGACAGGCGGCCTAGGGCGCAGTCCTACAGAATCTCAACTCCGGCCTGCAGCTTCAAGTAATCCTTCGGCGATCCTGGCGGGCACAAACACGTGAGGAAACTCGGCAACATCGGATCCACGACAGGTACTCCCTCTGCGACTCCCTCGATCTACGAACAGTGTGGCTCTGCAGGATGCAGGACGTGTGTGCCTCCTCGGCTGGGATGCCCGCGAAGGCACATCCGCCGATAGACAAGCGAGATCTCCTCCACCGAGGTGCTGGACCTCGAAGAAACAGGAGCCAAAGCTCCCGAAAAACCAGGCCTTCAGAGATCTTCAGGGCCGGGCCAGTCACCATCGAAGCGGTTCCGGAAGCCCAGAAGGGCGAAGGACTCGCGGATGGCGTCCGACGGGTGCTTTTTAAAGACCTGCCGAACACCGCGAGACCTTGCCGAGGGGATACACCAAGAGCCCACAGCCTCGCTGAAAAGCCAGTCCGCATCGCTGTACCCGCCAACAAGCGCCCCGAGAGGTCCTGGAGTCTTTGGAGCTTGAAACCCTGCCACAGAGAGGTTGTCAAATCCGGAATTGCAGCAGTGCGCAGCCTGTCCTCCCAAGACTTCCAACTCGCATCCACCTGAGCACGGCAAAGCGAAAGGGCGATCACAACTGCAGGAGACAAGTCTTTCGAAATCCTCTGAGTTGCATCACACGGCACTCGAAGAAGCTTGCTCCGATGGGAATGCATGGGCATTCGGCTTGGCCGCCAGCTGGCCAGCTTGAAATTCGACAGAACCGTCAGAGCTCGATCGAGAATCACCTCTTTCCAAGAACGTTGGGCAGCTGTCGCATTCTCTCTTTCAGTGAAACATCTCTTTTTTTCCAGCAACGCGACCGTTCCGGGACCAACATGTGTGCCCTGGCCTGCGAGCATTGCTGCCCGGAGGTGTGGCCCAGAAGCCAACGGCGAACCTCTGCGGTTGCCTGCTCAGACTCCGATCTGTTGCACATTTGCCTGCCGAGAGCCCGCCCGCCTCCGCCCCGAGCTCAGACCGCTCCAAGCTACCTGCAACGAGCTCCGCGGCTCTTTCGGCAAGATCCATGTCATGAAGACAAGTTCCACAATTCGTCCTGCCCGCACCGTCCCTGGCCACGAACTATTATCCTACAGAGTGGTGTCGCCGTGCAAGGAGATGGGAAAATCAGGCTCAATTCCAGTTCAATCTCTAGTAATGACATAATGAACTCTGCCAGTGCAACCTGCTTTATGCGAACCCCGCTCGCAGAAGACCCAAAATCGATCTCGGCATGCGAGCCAGAAGCGGCCCAATGCACTACTGCACTGCTGCAATGGCTCGGAGGTCGAGCAATTGTCAGCTTGGCTTCTGGCGCAGTAGGACGGGTTTCCTCCTTGACTCACAAGCGGTCAAGACTCTCGCTTGCAGGTGTTTACCTGCTTCCTATGGAAGGCGCATTCAAACCTTAAACAAACATTGGGTCGCAAGACCCAGTCCAAAACCGTGCAAATTCACCACAGCAGAACGCAATGCATTGCAAACTGGACGCGGCAAGACACGGGCAAGTCTCAGTGGGCGTCAAACTCACTGTCCCGATGTTCCAACTCGTAGGACTTTCGTCTGTCGAGAATCATGTCAAGATTCGTAGCCTCATTGGCTTGATTCTGCTCCACGTCTGGCGCCACCTTTGGCTGGGAGTCTTTCACGAGGGCGATGAGTCCCCAGGCCGCAATCATCACAGAACCGGCGACGCTTAGGGGATCTGTGGCTTCGTGCAACAATGCCGTTTGAAAGATAAAAGCGAAGACTACCTGCGAATAGTTCATGGCAGTTGCCTTGGCTGCGGTTTCCAGCGTGAGCCCCAGGTTCATCAAGGCCTGGCCGACGATCGAGAAAATGGCCAGCAGGACCAACAGGGGCCAGTCTTTCCGGGTGTGCCATGACCACGTCTCCCCAGCCGCAATGCTCAAGATTGGCCCGAGAACGATTCCTGCTGCGGCAAAGTAGTTCACGAAGACAATGGGGTGCACCCCCTTGAGAACCCGAACAAGCAAGTACACTACAGAGCTCATCACGGCAGCGATTGCAGCCCCCAGTAGGCCGTTCAGGTTCATCGGCTTGGGCTCCGCACCGAAGAAGGTCATCACGAAGCTGGGCTTGCTGATCAACACGACACCCACCATGCAAAGGACGCTGCCCAAGGCATCCAGCCGGCCCCAGGCCTCCAAGGGAGGCAAAAGCAACTGTAAGTGAGATATTGGAATCCTGAACTAAACCGCTTGGGTCGGTAACAACCACAGGCTGAGAATCATGAAGCACGGTTGAACCAGAGACAACTGCCCCCGGAATCGTGCACGCTGAACCACGAACCAAACGGTTGGCTCACAGTAGAAGACCCCAGGAATCGGTTCACGAAGAGCATCTAACCATGAGTCGCGACCTGTCGCAGAACTACTTTAGTTCCTGATTCGGCAGACTCGAAGCTACTGATTCAGTGCGATTAGTTCTCGACGCGCCCGCTGAAGTCGCTGATTCTCGCTGATTGATAGTGACTGATTCGCGCGTTCCGAAGGCCCACCTCTCCAAGCAGCAGTGCCGCTGCAACGGCCGTGATGACCGGGCTGGTATAGGTGATGACCACTGCATCACTCAAGGGCAAGTGCTGGATGGCGTAGTAGTATCCACTCATGAAGCCGAAGCCTGCGGCAGCACGCACCCAAAGCAACACACGGCTCCCTGGTGGCCCCAAAGGGTTTATCCTCTTCGCGATCAGCATGGACATGGTTCCGATGAACATAAACACAGATCTCCAGAACACGAGCTCATAAGTCCCAAAGCTGCTCAGAAGCTTCACCAGCAGAGCCATCAAGGAGAAGAAGAAGGCGCCGACGATCATGGCCAGTAGTCCAGTGGACAGGGTCATCGGCTCTTTAGCCTTTTCAAGCAGTGGCTGCCCTACCTCTTTGCTGTTGGGCGGCAAAGATGACTGGGAAATCGCCTCCTTTGCCAGGGCCACAATGCCCCAAAGAGAGATCATCAGAGCCCCGATTTTACTCTGGAAGTCGCTGCTGGACTCATGCAGTAATGTCCGCTGGAATATGAAAGCAAAAACCACCTGCAGGTAGTTCATGGAGGTTGCTTTGGCAGCAGTTTCCACCTTGAGGCCGAAAGCCAGCATCGTCTCACCGACGGAAGCAAGTGTAGCCAACGCCACCAAAAGCACTATAGCCCATAAGGAGGGGACGGCCCAAGTTTCTCTAAATGGCCCCAGGCCCATGATGGGAGCTGTGACAACCGCGGCCATGGCAAGATAATTCACGAACACAAGGGAATGCACGTCTTTGTCCTTCGCAGTCACGCCGTACTACAAGTAGAATTGAAGAATTATGAAGGGGCTTAGTCACCTTGGCTGTTCCTGCTGCCCTGAACCCTGTCCTTGAGGACACGAATGATGACGTATACACAGGTGGCACTGACGGCTGCGCAGCAGGCAGCTGCCAGACCCAGGGGCGGCAGATCCACGTTTTCCTCTTTCAGCCCGAGGATGTGGAAGAGTGCTGGCGGCTTACTGATCATCATTACTCCAGCAAGGCACAGGCCTGAGCCAAAGAAGTCCAAACTATGCCAAGTTTCTCCAAGGAAGGCTGTGGCAGCCAGTGCTGTCAGCATCGGACTGGTGTATGTAAGCACGACTGCATCACTCATGGGAAGTACGGCTAGGGAGTAGTAGTAGGTGGCCATGAAGGCCACCCCACACAGACCACGAAACACCAGGATAGCACGAGTGCGAGCGCAGGCTGGGCCCAGAGGGTTCAGCCCCTTCGACAGCGTGCTGGACATGGTGATTGCCAACATGAAGAGCGACCGCCAGAAGACCAACTCGAAAGGTTCAAACTTGTGCTTGGATGCACGTCCTGACCCGAGCTCCGTTGCCACCAGGGCCATCAGCGAGAAGCAAAAGGAGCCCCCCAGCATGGCCAGCAAACCAAGCACCGGACGCCATTTTTCTTCCATGGCTCTTTGGGTCCACGACCCCGTCTAGTGCTTGGGAGCTTCTGAAGTCCGCCTGGCTTCGGGTGCCATCGGAGTCAGGACGTGCTTTCTGTTGTCATGTTTGGCCCACAGTTCTCAGATCTTGATATCAGCCGATGCAGCTCTCCACCGATGCATGCGAAAAGCACGGCACATGTCTGAACTCGACAACTCAGTAGACCCTCCGGCAAGATGTCTTCTGTGCTGCACGGAAACGAGGGAACCGTGCCTGCTTCTGCATCTGAGGGCGGCAGCCAATGATCCGGGACCTCTTGACTGGTTACACGAATTTCTCTCCTGAACTCACAAGCTGGCCGTGTCATTGCACCCTCTGAACTGCTGCGCGTGTCTTAAGAACGCAAAGAACGCGGGCACCTTGCTCCTGGAGATGGAGCCCTTCAGCGGCTCCGCCAACTCTTGCTGAAGCAGGCCCAGCGTGCTAGTCCTCTCGTGAGGTGCCAACATTGTTCTTCGACAACTTTGTTGAAGCAGCTTGAGGACAAGATACTTAGTTAGTCCAATCCGATCTCTGCATCCTAGACTCTTCAGCCGCCCCTGCCTCAATGCAAACCCGAAGCATCGTCCCACCTTTCAAGTCACCATACCCATCCAGAGAAGCTCTACTTGTGCCCCTCTGCCCCATGTGAATCCTTTTGCCTGATGCAACCATCTTGAAAATGTGCGCTTCCCAAAGTTTTAGACCACCAGGCTCGAACAGCTGACACCGAGCCCTCTCCTCCGCCTTCTCAGCAAGCTGCTGGTGCTGTCTCGTCGTTTCAGGCTGCTTCCACTACTCCCAGGTGTCGAGCCAACACCTGAATATGACTGAAAACTGAGGGCACATCAACTCCCACCATTCTCCTCTCAGGGCTGCACTAGACTTGGAGGCGTCATGACTGGGCCTGCACGGCTCGATGCTCGCAGACCATCTCCAGTTGAACCAACTACAACTTCCAAGAAGCGTCCGCAATAAAGAAGCCAAGTTGCAGCAAGACCAAAGGCAAGGAGATCGATGCCCTTCGTTGCTTGGTGCTGGCCTCGAAGTATGCAACTCTCCCTCAGCATCATGCCAGATCGCCCTCTGCCTCGTGGACATCAAAGGCCTTGCTGTCCGAAGCAACAGTGCCACAATCCGAGCGTACCTTCAAAATGGACTTCACTTGACTTAGCACCTCTTCCTGGTCGAACCGGCCCCTACTATGCTGAGATGCTTCAGCGTTTTTCATCTTTCCAGGGACACACGGGAGAGTATCAGTCTCAAGCCACATCCCTGAAGCACACCATACCCTTTTTGGATCTTTTTGGCCATCACTTCGAGCCACGATCCGTTCGCCCGCGCCGTCACTTCTTAGAAGTTCACGTTCACGAACTCTGTAGCCTCTGTTGACGACTCGCCTTGCACAGCCTCCGGCACAGGCACCAGAAGGCTCCGGGAGTTGCTTCGAGGCAAGTTCTGTGCAGCAGCAAGTGTGGGAGTGAGAAGGCAACGCAACATCATGTGAAGATCTCCTGTCTCTGTCATGGCCACTTCCAGGATGCCATCCACAGAATCCCGGATGGAGGAGCTCAATCGCAACTCCAATTTCTGAAATGAGATGGCCTTGTCTGCCCCTCCTTCGGAGCACGCGGTTACCCAAGCTTGTTCCAAAACCGCGAGCCCTGGCTCCGAGAATACGTCTACGAGCCTCTTCCCGACAAAGGCTGGCTTCGATGCAGCTGCTATGCTCTTCCGCTCCATGTCAATCTCAAGGCTTAGAAGCCTTTTGTGTTCGATAGCGGGAGGCTCAGGCGCCTGCGCCTCCGTGTGGGCAACCGGTAGACCGGGCAGCTGGCTGTTTGGAGTAAAAATGCTTGGCGTGAGCAACGTGTAGGACGGCTGCCTCTCCGACACTGACATGGCATCCGGGGAGGCAATCGATCGCTTGTCGCTGACATCCCTTACGCCCAGGAGGTGCCGGAACTTACCACGACCCCGACCCGGCACTGTATACATGACTTGATGAACTTCGGAGCGAAACTTACTGGAGCAGCTGTCGACAAAGCGCGTATGGAAGGTCTGGGTGTTGATGCTTTCCGGTGGATAATTGTCAAATCGGCGCAGCAGCTCCGCTGCCCTTTCTGCCTCCTCCGTGCTGGGCATGAAATCCGTGAAAACGCTGCCCTTTAGGTCGGAACTCGATTGAAGGAGGATGGTGGCGAGCTCGGTTGAGTGCTCCACCAATCGCAAGTCCTGACAACACTGTCGAAAAAATCCCAGTGACCAGGTCAACCAAACAAGCTTTAACTGTTCTGCTTGTAGCTTTCCAGGCCTGATCCAGCTCGATCACGGCATCACACGTCAAGCCGAGCAGCGAGGATGCCGCTCGAAGCTCTGTGGAACGCTGCTGGTGCCGAAGACTTTCGCTGCTGCTGCGTCTCAAGCTCACCTAGCTGCAGGTGCGATCATCCACTGCTACTGCTACTGCGAGCTACTGCCACTGCCACTGCCACTGCCACTACTGCTACTGTTACCGCGCTGCTCCTGCCGCTACCGCTACCACTACCGCTACCGCCACCGCTACCTACTCTCCTTTGCTCTTGCTCCCCCACTCCTACTCCTACTCCTACTCCCACTCCTCCTACTCCTACTCCTGCTCCTACTCCCATCCCACTCCTACTCCTACTCCTCCTACCACTGCCACCAATACCACCACTGCCGCCGCTCCTGTCATTGCTGCCACTACTACCAGACTACAACCACTGCAACCACCACGACCACTGCCACTTCAACTGCTGCTGCTCTCCGACCTGCAATAACACGGCCGAGACCGAAGTTACGAAGAAGCCAGAGACTTCTGCACAAATGACGGCAGTGGAGAAGGGTATTTCTTCCACTGTGGCTCGAAGCAGCACCATGAGAAAAGGCCCGAAGTTGCAGAAGGCGACCAACGCGGGTTCCGTGGCCATGCATACAGCCGGCACACGAACAAAGCCAAGTACACAAAGTGACATCATGAACAGTCGGTCTGGTGGCGTGATCGGTGGTGCCAAGCCAATCACGGCCAGAGCCATTAAGACTGCATACAAAGCATTCGAATGCTTGGGCTTTGCCAGCAAAGTTGGTGACACCACGTGAAGCAAGGTAATCGCAAATAGCGCCAGGAGGATCCACGCCATGGCTGCCGACATCCATCCGTTCGTGCTGAGCACAACAGTCATCTGAACTCCAAGAAGCCCGATCATCAAGACTCCACACAACAAGTTCAAGAACAAGCGTGCCATCTGCACGTGACGATAGCACACCTGATCCACCACTAGCTTCTCCTGCGCACTTTCAATAGGCTGTAGTTTGAACACCATCTTGAAGTGCTCAACCAGCCTTCTACACCAGACGGACAAGTGGATTCTATTGACCACTATCAGGTAGCAGACCCGTACCAGGAGAATAGCTTGGAGGCTGCCCGAAACCGACCAAAACACCGCAGCATGCCCATTGCTCAGCTCCATTGCCCGATTTAAGCTCTTGCAACCACAGCTTCGGAGCACACAACGATCTCTGGAGTCACGAGACGCAGGCGAGCTTTTGCTAAACTAGGCTGTGCAGGACGATGCAAACACGCAAAGCCCAAGCAGAATCCATGCGAGCCTTGGGCGCCGTCTTCGTTACATCTGGCATGTCTTTGGAGGAGACTGAGCTGTTCGGCCCTCGGGCACATCACACTGGTGTCATGGCCACGTTAGGCAAACTCTGAGGATCTTGGCCACTGCTTAGATGGGATCCAGCACTGCTCCCTCCAGATTCACCTGACCCAGCCGAGGACCGCGGATGACAAGACGCTCAATCAGCACAGCCGGCCTTCAGAGGGACTGGACTCTGGTGGTGAGGACGGTGTTGAGGCCTCATCTCCCACAGGCTCGAAATCTCAAGAAGGACCAAGATTATGGATGGCTCCTGCAATTTTCTGGCTGCAGATGCAACAGTCGTGCGATTCGACTTCGGCACCTTTCCGGCAAGATGGAAAAAAAAACAACTTAGCCCACCACTGCACGAGAGCTGGCACCAGATTCGCCAGCATGCGCGCCAGCCTCAAGAACACCAGATTACACGCAGCAAAAACCTTGTGTGTGCCAAAACACAAACAATTATATATATATATATGTATATTCCCTCCCCCCCCCCGGTGACGTACCTATCTGTTTAGTGTATTTATACCACCGGCGTGTGTCTGCACAACTTCATCTGCATAGGCGCTGCCGTTTAGCATGTTGCCTTGTACTGCTCGCAAAATATCCATGTCTGACCCACTCCCCGCAGTTTGGCAGTCAAACTGCATTGGCGACAATTTCATCTGTTATTGCTTCGTTAGAACGAGTGCCGTTTTTATGAGGTTAATATTTGTTGTTGAATGCTTCATGTTGTTCTGCCTTCCTGCTCAAGCCACACAGCATGCAGTAACAAGACATTATTCATGGAATGCAGCATGCATGAAAAATGGAACAGCTAACCGGGAAGCCGGGGGTGAGAGGGAGTTGAGGGAGTGAGGAGGGGTGTGCAGGGCATTGGAGGAAGGCGGGGATGGGCATGAGATGAGGGGGGAGGGGGACCATCCAAGCCTATGTAAAATATCTAATAATTCTAATAATTTAAATAATTTGAATCGGCCGTATTTCCACAATTTAATTTATTTCAATTATTTTGCCGTGGTAGCCATTAATATCATAAGGGCAGGTGATTTACAATATTTAAATATTTTCGGTGATTGGCGGGCTTTAATAACTTAAATAATTTAAATCCCCTCCCTGATGCCTGCTCAGGACCGTCGAGGCATATTCAGAAAAACTTGAGTAATTTAAAAACTTTGAATCATTTTCGGGGGTTGGCGGATTTCGGTAACTTAAATAAATTCAATCGGCCCTATTTAAACCATTTAAGTTATCGAAATTATAATAAATGGGCCTTGGTGGCCCTTAATAGGATAAGGGAGGCGGATTTAAATCATTTAAAGTGTTTTCGGTGGTTGGCGGAATTAAATGATGTAACAAAGTATAAATTCCTCCCTGATGCCTGCTCAGGACCGTCCAGGCACATTTAACATAATGTAAATTATTTCCATAATTTGATTGAATTATGTGAAGTATGAATTTTTTTTAATTATTTCCGGCCCTGGTGGATTTAAATAGTTTAAATGATTTGAATCGATGATCAACTATACCCTAAAGGAGCCTCTCTCTCTCATATATGTATGTATGTATATATATATACATATATACATATATACATATATATATATAGATAGATATATATATATATATGTATATATATATATATACTTATTTATTTACGTGTATACCATATGTACAGATATAGAGGAAAGAAGGATATCCTGGGGGGCCCCGCTGTGTTATCCACCTGAGCGGAAATTGACCAAGTCGTGGTTTCCCGGGCTGACTTCGTGCTGGGGTAACAGTAGAAACCCCTTGAGAGTTCAGGCATAGGAAACTTTTGGAGAAATGTGGGTTCCGTACCTGAAGTCTTGAGAAGAGACCCTCTAAAGTGTAATGCATCTTCCTTAATGAACGGGTCTTGGGCTCTCTGGGAATCCGTAGTTTAGCCGTTGGGGTCTTGAGTCAGAAAGCCTTTGGTTCTTGAAAGGTTGGTAACCCGGATCCCATAAAGCTCGCAGATTCTGCCGGATGGGGTTTTGCGGCTTCTGTTACATGCCCGAAATCCCCCAACCAAGGGTTTAGGATGACTTCATTCAGTGATAATTTAAATGTGAGAACCTCCAAAGAACCAAAGTTGCGCAAACGATTAATCAATATTGAAAGTCCTGACACTATCCAGCTGGCTTGAATTTATTTGAACTGTCTAAAGGTTCGAACGCTTTCCAAGCCCTCCTAAGGGATTCAAGTAATTCGACGGGTTACATTGATAGGTTACAGAGGTACAGACTACGTAGATCTGCATCTACATAACTCAACGAGGTCTCTCGATCACTTAGATAAGGACCTATTCTACTAGAGGCCGGTGTTGAACGGCAGTTCGAGAGGTATATGTCGGTACCATCGTTGAACAGGGCAACGGCTTCTCAACAGACACAAACTGGTGCACCAACTATGACTATAACCAAAAGGTAGTTGGGTGGTTTCGTTCAGTTAGAAGTGGATTCGAAAGCATCTCAGGTATCTGAAGCTATCCAAACTGGCTAAATCCCGCAAAGTTGTCCAAGCCTTCAGAAGGTCTGACATGTTTCGAAAATTCTTCTGAAGCTATCGTCATCAGTTCGAAGCGTGGTTCGATAATCTAGCCGGTATTCAAGAAATTGGCGGAGGCATCTGATTAGATAATTTAGGTAGGGTTTCGACCAAGACAACACCGGATTAAGATACTGTTGCGGGTATGCAGAGATTGGTCTAGACTGGGAAACATTCCAAATTTTCAAAACGTCGACAGTGCTGGTTTCAACTCGGATCACCGCAGATTGAAGATTGAAAATTACTCGGAGAGAAAAAAGTTTTGGCGAATGTTCGATTTGGTGGTGGATGGCTGGAACCGGTATGAGCTTCAAGCCGGGCCACCGAAGATTGAAGAGTAAAGATTGATGGGAACGTTGAGAGGGAATCTTGGCTTTGGGGTGGTCGGATTGAAAGGGCTTGAACCGGCTTAAGTTTTAAGCCGACCCCCTGTAAATTGAAGATTCCTGTCAAAACTTTCCCGGGATCTTCAATTTTCAGTCTTCGGTGGACCGGCTTGAAACTCAAGCCGTTCAGGCCAGTTGGGTTCAGGTGTGCATGGCTTGAAATGGCTTCAAGCGGCTTGAGTTTCAAGCCGACCCGTCTTTACTTGAAAGCGCTGATGGTAACGATCGCAGGGAGAGGGTTCACAGCAAGGGGCACGAGACTCTCACAAACGCTCGCAGGGGGGAGGTTTCACGGGAGTTGCAGCAACAGAGGTGGATATTTGGGGGGGGGGGGGGTTACCATATACAAGTAATTCTTTGTTCATGTCCATCTATGTATTTGTTCTGTTCTATGTTTTTGCCTATGTATTTATGTATTTATATACCTATAACCTATACATTATCTACTTCAAATATCTATACACTAGTATATCCATATCTATATCTATGTATATTCATACTCACACTTATATTTATACTTATCTATTATTCATTGAATACATGTATCTCTGCATGTACTCGTATATTTTTATATATTTGTTTATTCATGTGCCACTCACTGCTTCATGCCCCGTGCAACTTCAAGACCATATCCGACATCCAAAGATCGCATGTGCTGCGTACCGTGCCACTCTTGTGCGCAGCTCCTATCACACGTCGAGGCCGCTGCTGCTTTGCAGCCCTTGATATCAAAGTGGTCCTGCATATCTGTCATGCTCTATTAGATTGGGAGGACTGATCTGACCACGAAGCACAGAGCTCGTCGCGGCCTCAGAGTAGCTTGGAAAGCCTCAGCGCACTCGGCAGGAGGGTCTTTCGCTTGTGGCCCGGGCCACTGTGGCAAGAGAGCCCTCAACCCGAACGATTGGTAGTTGAGGGTGAGTTGAGATGAGTTGAGGCCTGCGGACCCAGCAGCTTCGGAAGACTGACATGTTTGACCCTCACGCGAGATTGGGTAGACTTCCGACTTCCGGCTCGGAGTTTCAGCATTTCGTAAGGCCCTGGCTGAAATGAGGGTCCCATCCGTTCCGCCTACAGCTTCTTTCCTTGTCGGGGCAGTCGTCTAGTCGTCACCGACAGGCTGCCAATGCAACTGTTGATCGACATGGCCTTGGGGGCATCCTGATCTGGCTCGGGGCGACTCCTGCGGGCTGGACAGGCAGCCAAAGAGCCCGACTGCTTGTAGGAGTGCAGCCGAGGTTCGGCAAGCTGTCTCCGCTTGGCGGGCCGAGCACCGAATGCACCTGATCCAAACCCGAAACAAACCCTCTCCAACGCGAAGCCACTAGCAACAAGACAGTTCTCCAGCTCTCCAGGCCTTTGAGGCCCCGGCATTTGGCATGCTGCTGTTTCGACAGAGCTCCTGGTCAGGGTGAGCTATACGCTCAGATCCTCTCAGGCTCTCAGGGCCGAGCTCCTCCTCCTCCTCCTCCGTGCGAAACTCATGCGAGCGCCGCTTGTCGAAGCAAGGGGCCGGGCCCGGGTTGCTCTTCTCAGGGCCTGTGCAACTCAGGACTCTTGAGCCAGGGCTTCCTTTCGGACATGCCTGGGTGATCTATTCCATGTCGACCGAGACAGTCCAGAAAACCAAACCTGGGCTTCAGCGTTGCAGAGACAACAGTCTTAGTAGTGACGATTGACCTTGTCTCAGGCGCCCACCCACTTGGCCGCTGGCCTCTGCACTCCTCCCACGACGAGTTCTCTCATACACAAACGTAATCTGCGGCTTCAAGCGTGCCGAACATGCGCGAAGACCCTAAAGCCAGCGGCAGCAAGCGGCTCCGCGCCTGTCGCGGAGCCGCTGGTGCGGGCACTGCATGGCCCGCAGCGACGTTAGCCGCGGCCGCCTGGCAGAAGGCCGCCAAATGCGAAGCATCAGGTGTCATGCTGCGTGCTTGGGGATCCTTGCTTGCGATGAGCATTGCGAGATGCATGCTCAGACTACACTCAGAACCAGCCGTTGACCCCATCAATACGCTTCGAAGTCTCCGCTCACACCACTTCAAAACTGCAACTGATGTGGGAAGCCGCGAATCAGTCGCCAAGATGTCGACCACGAAACCCTATGATTCTCTATTTTCACTTTCATGGCAGCGACTTCGAGCAAAGGCAGCTTTGCACGGCCAAAACAAGTCCACAAAAGACGCGACTGAGAGCGGTTGAGGAGGAGTGGACTTGATAATAAATCCAATGGCTGTGTTGTGTCGTGCACCGTTTCCCCACATCCAGAAGAACTCGAAGATCTGTGCACCGTGTTCTCAACGCTTGTGCGGCAGTTAGCATAGTGACATAGCGTTGTGTCTCAGACCGTCTTTCGACGAAGTTTTGCAAAGATGACAGAAGTCCTAAGTGTTACAACACGACGTTTTGTAGTTGGAGCAGATGGTGAAGCATCATTGTAGAAAGGTGTGTACCTATGCTCTGCTGTGCAGCTGCTGCGCCACGCAAAGCGAGAATTGCACCCGCCTCCGCAGTGTCCACATCCTGCGAGAACAAGTGATCATGAGTCAAACCAAGTGTCCATACTCCACAAGCTACAATGCATCCACCAAGGCGATGCGGCGCCTTGGTAGAAGTGTAGTGGGGGAAGCCTGGAGATGTGTCAGGGGTGCATGTGCAAGCTAGGTCGTTTGGGGGGCAGCGGTTTTCCATGCAAACAACCCTCGGAGTACCCACCCCTCTTGCAAGATGCATCCGGAACATGGCCTTCCTACCCCCATCCATTACCCTCATCCAACACACTCCTCTCACAAGTCTCGAGTCTCGACTTTCCACATGGCACGAGCCCCGAACAAACGAGGTTTGTACCCCGCAAGGACAAAGATCCACGTGCTGGGGCGCAGGATTTCCGTAACTACCGGATTCCGGGATTGTATCTTAGATCCCGAAGTAGTACTGAGTTTTTTTTTTACAGGAATTCAGCCTGACAGTCCAAAGACAAAACTATGAGGCCGAATGGACCATTCAATGGAAAGTAGGAGCTCCAATGCTTGACAGCTGTTTTGGTAATGTGTGTGTGTTGTTCCTCCAGCATAGATCGCCAAACAGTGATGGAGCTCCCCCGACGACCACGACGACAAGAGCGGAATTAGGCAGCGGCAAAAATGGCGATCGCACTCGCTCACAGACCTTTTCCCACTGCACCTGGTACCGTAAGCCACAGCGGCTTGAGCCAAAGACAAGTCGTTGCTCATAGTGCTGAAAAGTGCACGCTTTAAGTCAAGACCCCGCTGTTACAGCACTTTGCTGCAACGCTGTCAAGACTGCTGAAAAGTGGAAGCCGTTGCCTTCTGACCACGGCGCCACGCTGCTCTCTTTTCGGCAGCAAACTTGCGGAGTTCGCGAGCTTCTTCGGTGTCTTTGAGCGACCATTCTCCGGCCACCATCACTTGGGTGAGGGCTTTGTTGTGGTTCCACTTGGTAAGCCCGTCACACGGCATGTGAGCCCCAGGAACCCAGCGAACCAAACTGTTGTTGTCAACCTCCAGAAGCCCCTGCCGAAGGACCGCCACATCAATCGCGATCTTGCGATCCGAAGGCAGAGTCTCAGCACTTAAAGCATCATAGCCGGTGCGGGCATCTGTAACCAAGATGTGGGCATACTTCGCGGCGCACACCTTCCATCGCTGCAACTCGAAGCGGCTGTCCACCAACTCGGCAAAGACTGCGCGGACATAGTCGCCGTGCTCATAAGCCGTCGCCAAGCTGGACACCTCCGCCGACATAGAGCATCGAACCACACGATGTATCTTGTTGCTGGTGCCCTCCAAAAGACAAACAGGAGCGGGGCCCTCCAAGACATCAGGTGACGCCAACATGACGATGATGCCCCCTTGAATTGAGCCCCCCGGCATGGCACCATAAGCTGCATCACTCACCGAGAGCAAAATCACATCGGCCAAATTGCAGCCAAGTCGGCGTACCTTGACCACCACGTCCTCCTGGGCCCTGCGTACGCCGTGTGCCAACCACTTGAGTGCTTCAAGGCGACCCCGTCCTGCTAGTTGCTGCACCAGAGAAGCCACGTAGCACAAGTCGTAACGACACTGCCTCCCCGCCCAGTTTAGCTGACCCACAATGGACCCGATCACCTTGCGGTCCCCCTCCGTGAGCTCATCGGATACGTCGGACTGACTGACTTGGTCCTCAAGGTATCCCAGTACATCGTCGGCTTCTGGCGCCGACCTGGACGGTGTGCTCAAGGATCTCTCTAGGGACTCCAACGGCCTGGGCGGTGTGCTCAAGGATCTCTCTAAAGACTCCAACGGCCTGGACGGTGTGCTCGTGGATCTCTCTGTGGACTCCAAGGGCCTGGACGGTGTGCTCGTGGATCTCTCTGTGGACTCCAATGGCCTGGACGATGTGCTCGAGGATCTTTCTGAGGACTCCAAGGGCTCAGATCGATCCTCCTTGACTGCTTTTGTCCGCACCTTTGGCATAGGAATGCTGCGCGTGTACTCTGTCATGGAGTACTCCATCTCCATCGTAGTCGGGCACTGGCGTTCCCACCGACCGCAGAACTTTTGCCACCCTTCGGTGGCCTTGCGCAGCTTCCCAAACTTGAGCACCTCGTGCAGCTGATCCCAAATGACACTGCTGGACTCATCACCGGCATATCGGGTGTCATCCACATGAATGCTGGCCATGGCGCATAGATTTCCCCCATCGTCGAAAGCGCGAAACAGCCCGGGCACCAGCGTCAGCTCCTTCAGCCCGAGGCGCTCAATCGTGTCTCGGTACTCCAAGTACCATAGCCGCGGGCTCTCCGGCAGTCTAAACCCGGCCTTGGTCAGCTCGATGAGGTCCGGCCGCATATTGTCCCCGAGGCCTGCCAACAGAAACTTCGTGACCTCGGGAGGGTAGCCGGAGGGGACACGGACGTAAATCTTCTCGGTCCGGGGAAGCTCCTTCCCTTGCAAAAAAAGGCGGCAGACACGTCCTCGTAGTGCACCGTCCAACCCAGCTGCACTGCCACAAAGTTCAAGAGGTTGTGGCCCAGCACACTGGTCGTCGGCGAGCACGTGGGGTATAATCCCGCGTCTGGATCGCGGTGCCCGCCAAATATCCAACGGGCCTTCAACTCCGCGTCCTCCAAGGACGCGCCTCCTTTGTTCGTGAGCACAAGCCTCGAGGAGAGCACCCGGGACGGATCCACCAACTGTCCTTCAGGAACTCCCTTTACGCCGTTGTGCTCCAAGTACACGCCAACCGCCTTCTTCAAAGGCTCCACAAAGGCCTCACGCCATTGCTCCGTGAGGCCAGACCACTTGTACTCAATGCGCGCCTTCCCCGTGGTAACCTCAGTGACACCGTCCATCTCATTCGCAATCACCTTGGCACTCACTTGCTGCAGGGCATGAACCTCAGCCTGGGAAGAGGGCGCCGACCACAACGTCCAATGGCCCAACGTGTCATTGATCAAGGCGTCGAGCTCGCCGGGGGCAAAGAAGTGAGGGGGCAGGTCCACTGTCTCGCTCACTTGCATCTCCACCACTGGCTCCACAGAGGAGGTCACCTCGGTGGCAGCCACCACTCGTTCAGCTTGGCGCCCAGCCGTACGTGGCCCACGGGCTCGTCCAGCCTTTCCAGCAGGCTTTGCCAGGATGGCCTTTCGCACACGACGCACCTTCTGGTAGCTGTCCTCCATTTGTTTTCGCAGCTCTGCCTCTTGCAAGGTGGACGGCGGATCAAAAGACTTCGCCAACGACTCAAAGAGCCGCTGCTTCTTGGCAAACTCCAAGTTATGAGGCTCCTGTCCGGGCTCCAAAGCTGCCTGCTGGCGTTCCACAAACGTTCGCTTCACTGAGAAGGGCAAATCGTCTAAGAGACGTTGTCGTTCGACTCGAGCCCGTGCCTCCTCCGGGTCCTCAGCCGCTTGCTCGGAGTCGGAGGACGAAGACGAAGACGATGCTGCCTCGGCCAGCTCTTGATTGGCCTCCGGAACAGGGGCCGCCTCCTCAACGCGTAGCTGGCCGCCCTCGAGCTCCTTTGTCACATCCTCGAGGGCCTGCGTGACATAGTCGGCGCTGACCATCTCCTCGGTGGTGGCCAGCCGGACCTTCTCCAAGGGATAGGCCTTAACACGCCCTCGCAATCTCACCCAGATGCGTTGGGGAACTGGCTTGTCCCTTTCCACACAGACAACCACGCCTGGGCCAACCCAGCTCACATTGTCTTGCATCCTGCGAGCCAAGCCTTTCCGTGAGGCCGGTGGCTCGTACAGATACACAATCGCCCCTTCTTTGAGAGCCTCCAAGTGCGGAGGCCGCGATCGCGAGGCCAGGGCCCGTCGAAGGGCATCACTTGCATCCAGCCAGTGGAACGCCTCCAAGGCCCCTATCCGAATCCTCTCGGCTCGTGCCACAGCCTCCTTCTCGGTGGCGGCCTCGTTGTATCGGAACCGCATCTTGCTGCTGGCCAGTTGCTCCATCAGCGACCCTGGAACCATGGAGTTCCTCCCGGTCACTGCCTGAAGAGGAGAAACTCCTCCTTTGTTCAAAGTGCGGTTCTTGGCCGCGAAGGCTGAGGCCGCTGCTCGCCGCATCTCGGCCGCACCCTTGAGGTTCAAGGCCTTGACCATCTTCATCATCATCAACTTCACAATGGCGCCGTGCCTCTCGGCGTGACCCAGCCTCCACTTGGCCCCTTCCGGGACCACCTCGTGCACCACCGAGAACAAGTCGTTCATCACCTGCACGGACCCGGCAAACTCCGGGCCACCATCCGTGATGAGTAGATCGGGTGGCCCGAAAACGGCGTACCAAACATCCTGAAGCACCTCCCGAGCAAACGTGGAGTCCGGGACATCCGTCAGGTCCCCCACGTGGTAGTCAGTGAGGCCATCAATGAAGTGGGTCACGGCGAACTTTTGGCCAGAGGCATCCCAAATGAAAAACGTGTCCCCCGACAATCTTTCATTAAAGGCCTTCGGTTTCTGATAAGCCACTTGCGGTTGCGCCTGTGGCGGTCGAACCATGGCGCAGACCTGGCATTGTAGCCCCCTGGCAAGGGCCACGACACCGGGAGCTGCCCCGCCGATCGCCAACATGCGGGCCAGGCGCTCGTTGCTCAAGTGACCCATCGTAACATGTAAATGGGCAACCATGCTACGTAATCGACGGGGCTGCTGCAGATCGGCACCGGTGAACACCACGTAGTCGTACCTCTCGCCCGTCATGGACTGCTTGGCCAGCTCCGCCCTCAAGTTCTCCTCAGGGAGTGAAGAAGCGCTCACCGGAGCAGTTTCCCAAGCAGTCCCACAGGCGGCGTGGGCAAGCTGCCACGGTTCCTCGGCCACCGGACAGCTCCATGCGGCTTCCGCTGCTTCCAGCACTCTGGTGCACCACGGCCATGGCCATGCTAAAGCACAGAGGGCACGGTCCACCAGTGCATCACCAACCTTGGCCTTTCCCTGGATCACCTGGTGCTCCGCCGACGGGTGGGTACAGTACCCTTGCTTCATCAGCCACTGACCCATCACCGGGGAGTTCACATCCGCGGTGATTTTCCGCTGGTAATACGTGCCGTTCTCCGGGTCGCATAGCCCAAAAGCGCACAAACACACCGTGGCTCGGCAAACGCTGTCCCGCTCCTGCATGTAGCTCAGCTCCAAAGCCGAGGACCCAGCCGGCTGAACCAACACCACCAAACGGCCGGCTTCATTTTGCACTTGCCAAAGGTCTCGGCACAGCTTCCAGATTGGCAAGTCTCGCCGGCGCTCCTCCCAAAGATCATCATCTTCGAGTCGCCGTCGAGACCAACTGCCCCAGGGTCCAGCATTCGGGGCCATGACGAGCAGATCCGGCTTCTCTCGCCGAACCAAAGCCAGCAGGGCCTTAGCAGCTGTCGGGGAACGCCAATCGGGGGCATCCAACTCGGGACTGCGAACTAGCTCCCAACCGTCGCGATCTCCGGCACATAGACCCAAGGCCCCAGACTCCCCAATGACCTCGAGGAGCCGCCAGCGAGCGGCATCTTTGCACACCATGGCCGTCAACGCCAGCACCCCGCGGGCCTGTTTCACGCCCGCCTTCAAGCGCTGAGCCAGCCCCCGATTGGGGCGGTGGGCACTCACATCAGCGCCCAAACCTCGGGATTGTTCAACTTCTGGCGCATCGCTCCGAAGTGTCCCCACAAGCTGCCGATCTCCTTGGCAAAGAGGTGGCTCAGCCAACGAGGATTCCTTTTCCACCTCCGGTCCCCGTCCTGCTCGATGGCCCTCTTGACCCGGATCTGCCACAGCAACTTCTTCCAGAGGTACGTTCTCATGCGGCTGGCCACCGACGCCACAGTGTTCAGCCCCACCTCGTAGCTCCATGCATTGCTGAGGCTGGGGTAGTCGGCGTACACTCCCGTCAGCGCTCGCGTCTGCTGCACCTTGGCCCTCGACGCTGCCTGGCGAGCATCTCCACCTCGTCCGCAGTCAAGCCCGTCGCCTCCAAGGACAACGGGGTAGCACTCGAGGATCCCGTTGCCGCCGGCGGTGTCCTCCTGCCTTTCACCGGCAGGTTGCTCTGCGGCCTGGGTGCCGCCATGGCATCCAATGTTGTCTGCATACGGAAGTCCTCAGGCAACTGAACACTGCCGACATCACACTCATCGATGCAGACCGTGTAGTGCCCGCTCTCCCTGCCCACTCCGAAACCACGGACCCCCAACTTACGAGACGACAGCGAATGATGTTCACAGTCCATCACGGCACCAAGTTGTGAACACCCAGAGCGAGAAAAGAGGGGAGGGCAGTGACCTTCTACGATGCTGAAGCTGTAGACCACTGGCTTGCTTGCGAAACTCCCGACAAAGGACAGCCGAAACTTGCTCTGCAACACTTCCCCGTCCCCAAACTTGAAAGCCTCACACTCTTTCTCGATATGGTACCAACGACCTTCGGCATGCCAACGACGTAATACTGTATTGGCCCACTGCACCCCGGCGACCGACCTCATGCAGCCTAAGTCCAAGATCACCTTGAAAGCTAGCTCCTTGAGGGACCACATAACTTCCTTAATGTTCAAATCCACCGAGAAGACCCTATGCGTCACCCCCTTGTATGCCGCCTCATCGAAGGCCCCTCGCTGCGACACGTCGGCCCCTTTGTAGAGCGACATAAGAAGCTCCCATTCATCCTTTTCCGGAACAGGAACCAGTGTCGTTGCCCCGGTCGCCTTGGACGAGCGGGCCCCAAACGCTGCCTGGGCCGGCTTCGCAGGATTGGCCGCGTGCGGGCATTCACGAGACCAATGCCCCAGCTGTCCACACGAATGACAGGGCCTCGTCTTCATCTGCTCTGCCAGCAGCTTCTTGCGATCTTCGCGTTCCCCTCCGCCGCCTTCCGGCTTCTTGTAAAACTTCATCTTCTTCACTTCGCCTTCCTCGCCCGAGACATCCTCTTCCAGCCCCGGCTCCATCTCCAGCTCAGCTGCAAACGTTCCCCGAGGCTGTCCGGACACCCGGGGCGGACACGGCGCTCCGAATGCCTTTGCAACAACCACTCCTCACCATTTCTGGCAATGTTCGGCTCCGAAGCCCCGACCGGGAACCCTGCTTCGCCCTCGAGCTCGGCCGCGAGGTCAATCATGGCCTACCAACTCCTCGTTCATGTCCGTGCCGGCTCGGGTCTTAATCATCGCCCGGTCGCGTCGAGTCAGACGCGCGTGGTCCAGCAAGTGCCCCACGTAGAAAGCCTCGCCCATCGAGAGGGACTGGTCCAGTCCCACCAAGTGGCTCCGGTAAATCCCAGCCCGCGTCACATACGACTCCATGGATTCACCAGGAGCCCTGCACAGCCGAAGTAGTCGCTTCCGGTGCTCGTCCACTCGATGCTTATCCAGCTGCCGAATAATCGGAGCTCTCTCCAAAGCCCGGAAGATCTTCTCCTTCCCGTCGCAGCCATTCACATCCTTCATGGACAAGTGCTTCACAAGCTGGGCCGCCCGGTCCTTCAACTGAACCATCATCCGTGGTCCTATGATTTCTGGGGGAAGCTGCTCTCCTTCTCCCCCAATCCAGAACTCAACGATCCTCTTCCGTTCGTGGTAGCTTTCCTGTGGCCTGGCGCGAAACGGGGGGGGATACGTGGTGGAAATTTTCCCACCCCGCTTCCCTTCTCCAGCGACCTTCGCCTTGCCCTTGTCGTCCTCCTGCTCCTCGTGCTCGCGGTCGTCAAAGTACTCGCTCGTCTCCTTGTCACCGAAGAGCCTGCGCCGTGAGCTGGTGCTCAAGGTTGTCCATTCTTTCTCCTCGCCGGCCTCGGAAAGTGTCTTCCAGGACCAGTTCTCGTCCCAGTCACCTCGACGTCGATGACCAGGCCTCGAGCTCCAGCTGTCATTTCCTCGGTCCTTCTGCCCCCAGCTGTCCCAAGTCTCCGGGGTGTTCTTCTCCTGAGTGCCATCTTCGCGCCAGCCGTCCCACGATTGCCGCTTCCGTGCTCCACCCCACCACCCAGAGTCGCCGTCCTCGCTGGTGTCCTGCCCCGTCTCCCTATCAGAAGAGAGACCACCGGTCCCAGCGTTCGGGCTCCTCCAGCTCTGTTCTCCAGACTCCCCAAACGAGTCCATGCTGACCTCTTCATAGTAGGACCTCATCGTGGCCCACGGTCTCAGGTGCCTAGCTGCAAGCCGCTCCAAGCAATCACCTCAAAATAGCCGATTGGCTCCAAAAATCACAAAGTCCAGGATCGCACCCCGGCACACCTCAAACTGGCCGCCGCCCCAGCAGCAACACACACCGGCGCCCCAGCGCCGCCCTGGATCGTAGACAGGCTCCGCTGCCAGCGGAATTAGGCAGCGGCAAAAATGGCGATCGCACTCGCTCACAGACCTTTTCACACTGCACCTGGTACCGTAAGCCACAGCGGCTTGAGCCAAAGACAAGTCGTTGCTCATAGTGCTGAAAAGTGCACGCTTTAAGTACAAGGACGATGAGGAAGGGTGCCGGATCAAAAAAACTTAATCAGGATCAAAGAAAAGCTTAAGCCCTCACGGATCAAATAACAGTTTAAACAGGATCACGAAGAAATTATCACCTACTTGGGGCACTCCGCTTGGCATGCTCCCTCGTTGCCAGTACTGTAACCGGACAGACTCCCTCAGCACTCAATCTGACAGCCGAAGAACTGACACGTCCGTGGTCGCCATAAACAGTAACTCATACCCGAAGCCGAGTCAGGGCAAGCTGGTGGGGCACTTTGCAAGGTCTAATTTTGCGGTGAGCTATTCGGGACTTCCACTTTGCAGGGTGTGCTTTTGCGGAAACCTATTCTCTGAAACCTAAATTTTACAGATTCATCGTAAACAGGAGACCAACCAAACCATGCAACCCTGAACTCCTTGCAACCTGAAAACTTAGCTCATAACCCTAACCGACGCTATGCCTTAACCCCACATCATTGAAGGTTAAATTGTGCAGTAAACTCGCCTGCTCAGCAGGCGATGGTGCGGTTGCTGTCATATCGCAGACCCGACCCCATTAAGCGATAGCGGTTAGTCACGTATCACGAGCCGAAGGGCAGTTGGTCAACTATCTTAAACTTGCACCCTCATTAGGCGAGTCCAATAACAGCAATAATAGTCGCCAATAGTGATAATAATAACAATAACAAACGTAAAGTATCATAATCGTACGAACAACAAGATTGGTAAGTAAGAAGAGCAGTCATAGTACTTACAGTAACAACAGTAAGAATAGTAAGAATAGCAGTCATAGTAACAATAGTATTAGCAGTCAGAATTCTCCTGATGGTAATCGTAGCAGCACTAGCAGTGCTAGTAGCACTAGTACCAATCGTCACAATGGTAAGAACAATACGAACAGTCATGATAGTCAGAACAGTCAGTCTAATAGTCGTAGTGGTATATACTGGTATGACGAATAACTGAGAGTAACAAGGGCAATGATGGCTAGGGTGGGAAGCTGTGGAGCGTAAGTATGTTTCTCGATCCTGTTTGACTTGTCTGATCCTGGTTTTTCCTGCTTAGTGGTTTTTGATCCTGATTTGGTGGTTTTGATCCACATTCCATCAGGACGACCACGACCGCCAGAAAAGACACAAGGAGACCACCAGAAGAACACCAAGAGACCAGACCCCCAATAAACCGGCAAACCAAAGGGACACCAGATCAGACCAGGGCCAAAAAGGCTTGTGCCGAGGGATTCATGAGCACGGCCACCCAAATGCTTCCCATTATGTACTGGCAGGCCTCAGGATTCAATTATGTCGAGCTCAAAATGAGGCTAATGTGTCGAAAATCGCAAAGCTTGGAGCTGCAAATCAAATGCGAGGAGTGTTTGCTGTCAGGTTTTGCCGTAGGTTTGTGGAGCTGACCGGTGCTGACCACAGCAGCTGGCTGGGGCAAGGTCGCCCGACATCGTCCAATTGAAAAGGACATACTCCGCAAGCTGAGGAGGAAGCTTGAAGCTCTTCACAAAGTTCCATGACGCGCGAGTTCAGAACGAGAACAATCATGTCAGCAAGCTCAGCTCGCAACCAGAAGGATCAGACTTGTGGGCGCGTTTGTCCTCTTGCACATCAGAAGACGCAAAGGGTCCTCTCGACTGACAGGATCCAAGGCGAAGCTGCTCACAGCGCCTTCCCGGCAAGGGATGCAGCTGGCGCTCGGCTCCTCGGAAAAGTCCACAGAAAACGAGCTGCTCAAAGAGTGATGCCAAAAGACTTCGCCAGATGAAACAAATCCAACCAAGATTCGGCAAGTTGTTTCGCTGCAGGCCGAGAGCAGTGTGCACCTGCGAAGTGCAATCGGCACATTCAAGGCCGACAAGCCGCTCGAACATCAAAAGGGGACCCAAGGTTCACGCAGACCGCATGCTGCTGCCAGTGCTGCGGCCAGCCTCCTGCTGGCCGAGTCAAAGCTGAACCGGCATGGCAACATCCCTTTTGGTCATGCTCTCTGCAAGGCTCTTGAAAAAGACAGGACGAGGAGCTAGAACCAAGCCAGTCCTGTGTCGGATAGGTGTCGAAAACCGAGGAGGAATAGAAAGCCTGATGTTCCTCAGCAGCCCCTGCACAGAACAAGTTGAACACTTCATGTACTCGCCGTGCGCCGTCGCATCACATGCAGCTGACGGCTGTGAATTTGGATGGTCGCATGCCGCCTCTGTGGTCTGTGCAGTCCGCTCCCCGTCCAAAGCATTCCAAGAATCCGAACCTCAGATGCAGCCCGTCTTTCCGCTTGTCCCAAATTGTCAGCCTTTGAGCCGGGCATAGCATGGCGTAGCTGGGCTCCCGAGCCCAGAGCTCGGACGCTGTGCAGCTCCCCGGCACGACTCGCCCTGAAACCAGTGGAGGGCAGAGACCAGCACGGTTGCCATGATGCTGCTGGGCCGCCTGTCGCACGGCTCCAGGGCGTCCTCGTGAGGACGAAGCCTGAATTCTGCCAGGCACCTGACACATTCGCCGCGACAGCACCTCACTCCGTGAAGATGCAACCACAAGGGCCGTACTTGTGCTCTGTCTGCATCCTGAACACGGGCCACACGACTCAAGGTGAATGCCTGGACATGCAGACGTTGCCAGCAATGCCCTCTTGGTCGCTTCCGGTCCTGTGCAGCCTCCGGGTGCGTCATGAAACCTGCACGATAACATCTAGATGGTTCTAGACAGTTCTACCTGCACCACCACAGCAGGCACAGGAAGCAGGCCTGGACGACGATCCAAACCAGTCCGAATGTATCCATCATCCTGCCCAAACGACGCGCCAACGCGTGCAGCCCGATGTGTCACCGTTACTTTCACAACGAGCTAAAACCACCAACCCGGACAACATGGCTGGCTTGGTGATGCTTGGTGAGATGAGCAGCCTGCCTTGGGCTTCTCCACACCAATTGGGTTTACATTTGCCCGGGTCCTTGTCAAGACTTGGAAATACTTGGAAAATCTTAGGCATCAAGAAATATCAAGAACATCAGGAAGATCGACATCTACTTCCCTGTGGACCACTAAGACGCACCAACTTCAAAGACCAAGCTTCGGCAAGCTATTTCGCTCGCGGACGCCGCGTGCAGAGTGCACCTTTGGACGGACCAACACTTGAATACAAGCCATATCTTCATACACCTTATGTTTCTACTTAGTCTTCTGCTGGGAGGAAAATCTCGTCCAACAAGGAGCAAACGCCGGGGTCGCGGCGGAACGTAAAGTGTTTTTTCGGCCGTTATCCTGCGGAGTCGACATCCACGCGATGTAGGGCCGGCTGTAACGTCAACATGATGGAGGCCTCTACATGACAGACATGAAGGCTTCACAGTCGGTCCTGCGATGCTCGGTTGTCGAACAGGGTCGCAGTGCCCTTTTCCGGGCTATGGCGCTTTTCGAAACTTCCTGCCAGCGACTTCAAAACCGAATCCAAACCAAGAAAACATACAAGACATGTCTCTTTGCATTGTGCAAACTGCACGACCGTCGGGTATCAACTACCTTGTCACACGCCGATGTTTCCCATGCCCCGCACGATATACTCCGCACATGTGCAGTATGCACTCAGCATCACTCAGCCTTATGTGCGTATGCAATGTACTTACGTAAGATTCGTGCTACTGTGCTGCTCATCATAGCAATACTAAAATCTGACTGAGTTGGTGCTACAAGTAATGATAAGAAATGCCCCAGCAATCGACACTCCAGGCCTTGCATATCTCAATGTACCGACATGAGACTGTACTGCAACAGCCTCCAGGATCGACTCCTCGCCCGGAGCCACCGAAGCCATTCAAGTGGCCAAACCTGGCGACTCATGACACCGTAACATTCACTTCTTCTCAACGGAAAGAAGCAGATGCCAATCGCAACACACTCGGGCGGCGGCTCAGGGCTCAGGCCGTGGTTGTGAGTTCGCTCCCAGGTGCACTCCTGCGGCGCACTGCAGGAGCCGCAACTGTTCACAAGTTGGGACACTCTGCACCCCAGTCTGCCTGGCGCGGTGCATTGACAGCTGCCACAGTCGGGACACGCCCACGCGACGCCGCTGAGTTCAAAGATGTAGGAGCCTGAGCACTGATGAAGAACTTGCTACGTGCCTTGGCTGAAGCACCCGAAGCGACGGCTGTGGGAACGGCCGCCGCAGCCTCGCACAAGATGACCATGAAGCACGTCAGACTGTATCACGCCATCAAGCCACTGAGCTCTTACTGAGGACTCGACCACTTCTACTCCCTGTCCATCCTGAGAAAAAACGGGATGTCTGAAGAACTGGCTAGCAATGCGCGGCTCAACAGATCTCTGTCGCCAGCCTCTAAATCGAGAAGGTCTGCAAGCTTCACCGACATCAAGACCTCCACGACATCACGTAGACTGCAGCACGGCTCTTTGCTCTGAGAATACTCCTCGGGGCCTCCCCAGCGGCAGTCCCCCGGCTCATGTGAAGCACTGCAACCTGGACAGAGCTGGAAAAACACGTGCAACAGTGTTGGTGCAGCTCTCGGACACTCAGGCCTGGCTGCGGCTTGTGACGCCTTTGCGGAGAATCACCTCTCCGAGGTTCTTGGCCTTCAAGGTCAAACGAATACCCCGTGCCGAAAACCTCCAAAAACCCTCGAAAACAATGCCACGCATAAGTAACAGGGCCGGGAAGCAGGCTGTGGTTGCACAAGCACTCCCCAAGTCGAGCCATTGGGACAGACCGGAAAGTGCATGCACCAAGTGTCGGTCCGTTGTTGCACATGAGCCGAAATGCTGGAACGTTGCAAAAACCGTGGCCCGGGCATGGAAGGACTCGGCATCTGTCGGGTTAATCTTCACCAACAGCTTCGGGATGCCAGGCTCGAGTCGGACCTGTCCGACTGTGAATTTCCTCCCAGTACAGCTGTTCACGAATCGGCCACCCGCCCCGGGTGTTTCCCGAGATGTTCGCGTGGAAGGCATTGCAAAAAGCATGCACGCCCGAGTGAAAGCTTACACTCTCCTCTCTGAGCTCCACACACGCAAGACAGAACTGCTGTGGACCTCGGCGACCGCTGAACAAATCCAGCCGCGGCCTAGGCGAGCCTGATACCCTTGGCTGTGGGCCATGTGTTTGCGGCGGCTCCGTGGTGAGAAACCTGCCAAAGCAACCAGGCTGCAGCAAAAATAAAAAATCAGCACAGTGGCGTTGCGGCCTGCTGACCCACCCAATTCCACTCATGTGGCCGCCATTGTCTCTCTCGAGCCACAAGCAAAATCAGACAGGGAGCGAGCGGTGTCGGGCGGCAGGACGCGAGCCAGCTTCGGAGTTGGGTAAGGTTGACCGTCGCACCACGTGAGAACAGACACTCGAGATCAGACACTCGCGAATCTTTCAAGACATACATAGCCAGGGGCTTTCTTTTCGCACAGTCCTGCAGCTTAGGACGTAGTCAACAACTCAAGCAAGGTTTCGGAACAATGTTTGCAAAGGACAATGGGATCTTGCGCCAACGTGCACGTCCTGAACCTCGGTGGGTGGGATTCGGATGGATGTCCGGGTCCGGGACAACGCGTCACTTTATGCTCCAGATGGCATCTTCAGACTGCATCATTAACAATCAGAGCTGAGCCTTTCATGTTCGGGTGTGCGCTCTCGGGGCCCCTCAACCCGAAGCCGTGCAAAACATCGAATCCCAAAGCTCGAATGTGCAGCAGCGCTACGGCCAAAAAGAACTCGGGCCCTCTTCAATTTGCCACTCCTGCTCTTTCATGAGCTGTGCTTAGGTCAAACTCCAACAACAGCTGAACACAAGAAAACCATGATCAGGCCGGAAAAGATAAACGGTATGCCAGCGCTTTCCGGAATTGACTTGCACGCTGCTCCCCTCGCATCACTCCTCACAATGTATCGTCGGAAGCGACGATTGTCTCTGCGTGGCGTCACGCCGACGGGGCCACGTCACATGTCCTGCTCAGAGGTCCGTCATAGCGGGAACCACACCTGTTGTGAAGCTCCTATAGCTTCTGCATGTCGGAATGAAGGACGGCTGAAGCACCATATCGTAAAGGCTACAGCCCTGAACCCCAAACCTCTTTAAAGTCCCGGAGTCCCGGTCGTTCTGTAAGCTTAGTTTCCTTAGCGACTGTCTACAGCTCAAAGCAAAGAAGCGCGGACGCTCACTCTTTTTCGTCAAGGTATGCTCGGAATCGAAGTCTTGCTGTCTTCGGACTGCTAGGCTTTTCTACCCCCTCCGTCAGAGAGGTGAGACGCATATGCGATGCTATGCGGCTTGGACTAGTTGGATTAAGAAATCCACCCGCCGTGTCTTGAGGGTGTGGAGGGTGGGTGCTTCAAAATCATGCATGCGACATGTAGCTGAGCCAGTCGCTAAGGCAGTGCAATGCAAGACAGTGCAGAGCTAACCTGAGCAACAAAACACACGTGAAAGGAAAAACACGAAGCGTTCTGTAAGCTTAGTTTCCTTAGCGACTGTCTACAGCTCAAAGCAAAGAAGCGCGGACGCTCACTCTTTTTTGTCAAGGTATGCTCGGAATCGAAGTCTTGCTGTCTTCGGACTGCTAGGCTTTTCTACCCCCTGAGCATACCGCTGACTGTTTCCCCCCCAGCGTGCGGTTCAGGAGCTGCCTGTCAGACAGAGTCAGAGATGGCGGTCGCTGTAGTACTGCTGCGTCGTCTTTTCTACGCTTGCCAACTGCTGAAGCGATGCTTGTGTGCGGGATGCTGTCCGCCGCATGCTTGGCCGTTTGGCATCTTGATGGCGCAGCGGTGCTCATACTTGCAGTTGGCGTCGTTGCATTGCGTCTTGTTGTAGCGAAGGCAGAGCGTCTTTTTGCCGTGCGTGATTTGCAAGTTTTGCATGGCACGTTCCAGTTGCTGTGCTTGGTTCTTGTCGATAGTACGTTGCGGCCTGTTAGGGCTGTCTGCCTTGCCTGCTTTGCCGGTGCCTTTCCTGGGCCCCTTTGGCGGGCCCGGCGGCGTGTAGGGTGCATGCGGTGCGGGCGGCATCGCCGGCATGCGGGGCCGTGCTTGCATGAGGGTGCCAATGTCGCCTCGCACGTGCATCATCTCATGCAGTGTTTCATCGAGGCTGTGAAGCCTTGCTCTTATTTTCACTGAGAAAGTTATGGCTCACAACATAACTGAAGTCAATCATATGAACTTCCATATGAAAGGGAAAAGTCAAAGTCGTGAATCACATATATTTGATTCAATCTTGATAATCAAATATCTTTCACATATTGAAAGTTGCAACGAACGGATTCGACCTTTTCCGCGAAGGTGGCATGGGGCATCCAGGAGTTTGCTCACTACTAACGTCCTGACTTCCAGGAATGAATGCGGCACATCCCGCACCCCCTTCAGAGCACATGTGCCCCATTCACCCAAAGACTTGTGGCAGCGCCTGCTTGAGCGTAGCCTTGTCCACCGACGACTTATGTGGAGCTGCAAAGCCACGACCCCTTGAAGGATCGTCCATTTTTCATTCATTCGTTCGCTTCAGCTGAGTC